CTAAACTCATCAGAAGCTTAGTGGGCCATAATTAATGGTTGATTAAACGGCTTATACGCTTATCCGTTGGGATTTGCAGTGTTGACAAGTATGTAGGGCTTAGGTAATTGTGTAGAGGAATCCTGGACGGCGATATATTCATCGGGCAACATGCGTTTCCAACGCCTACAGCTCATTTCATTTTCAGAATAAACTCCGCATTTCCTCGCTGCCTTTGGTAAGCAACCATTTTGGCGAAATTGTCGTTGTTTGCGTGCCAGGCTTCCTGCAGTTGGTGCGAGATCGGATACTTCGGTCGGTTGGTCCGTCGCGTTTAGTTTAACTTGAATTCGTTTTTAACTGGTGGGAATACGACAGGCTACCTAATTTCTGCCGTCTAGAATTTTGTTCTGAAGAAGTAAGCCTTCACATTGGCTGTCACCTCAGCTAGGTCAGCAGGTCATTTGTGGGTGCTCCCATGGTAAGCGGACCTCTTTAGAAATAACGCAGACCCCAATATGCGGCTTCCTCGAAGGAAAGCTGTTGTAAGATTGACAGACTACAAACTTGGTGGACGCAGGGCTTTGCTAAGTTTTGCCTTCTACTTTCATTGCTGTCCGCTTGGTGCGTCCTGAAGCTGCACCTCTTCGGAACATATGACTGCCTCAAAATAGTAAAGTTAAAAACAGATGAAGGGATCATGTATGAATGGTAACGAGGTTAGGGTTATTTAACTACCGATCTGACAAGCTCGTTACGAGCAGTAAAGTGCTCTCGAACTTAAACGGCATCATAAAATCACAAAGTATGACTAATGTATTACCGGCAAACGTTAGGACTGCAGGATACGCGTATTTCTAGCTTATTAGCTGTCGTCAGCTGCAGTTACCCGACTGTTAACAGATGAGGATTTACTCGACGTGAAGGCGGCCCGATAAGTAGAACAAACATTCTTTTTTATGGGAGGTGTCAGCTCTTTCTAGCTGATCTTCAGACACGGCAGCAGATAGAGGTAGCAGACTTTCAGGGAATGTGTTATTGATAGGGTTTTGTAGCTATTTACTGACACACTAAACATTGGCTGCTCTCACATACATCGCAGCTGTTTGCGACTTGCGTCATACGTTAAAGACTGCGATTGCATTGCCAGTATCGGTGGTTAAAATTGCTCGGCAATTTGGTTCATAGATTCTGTCACAAGAACAGCATCAACCCACTTGCTCTTGCGTGACTAACTGCTCGAGCAAGGTCCTGACAGTAGATCGATATGAAGAGAGTTTCTTTGGGCCAGCCATGCGACACTACTTGCGTAGCCTTGAGTGGCTATCCCGAAGAAGCACAAAGATCAGGCTTCTG